GGCCCTGGCTGGTCTGGCTCCGTGGTTAGAGCGTCGGCCCGCGGACCAATGAGTCGCAGGTTCGATTTTGGTCAAGGGCACGTACCTCGATTGCAGTTCGTCGATGTGTCTCTCTCTGATCGATGTTTCTCTCTCCCTCCCCACTCTATCTGAAAATCAATGGGAAAATATCCTTGGGCGAGGATTAAAGAAAAAGGATCTGTTCTGTTCGACCGGAGCAAGTAGAGGGGTGGGAATGTAATTTTTCTATTTTCTCTGATTTTCTCACAGTGGTAAAACAAATTTATCCAGTAAACTACAATAGCTCCCCCACCTTATCTGTGGTTTTGATTTGTCACGGTCACCCTCAGTCTGAAAATATTAAATGGACAGTTCCAGAAATAAACAACTCATGTTTTCAACTGCATGCCCTTTTGAGTGGTGTGATGAAATCTCACGCCACCTGGGATGTGAATTGTCCCTTTGCCTGTCGGATCCATTCTGGTTCTAGGTACTCTCCCCAGAAGCATCTTTTTTTTTTTTAATTTTTTTTTTTTTATCCCCACCTGAGGATATTTTTCCATTTTTTTGTACAGATAGAGTGGGAGGGAGAGAGAGGAAGGGAGAGAGAGAGAGAAACATCGATGTGAAGGGACACATCCAGTGGCTGCCACCCGCACGACCATCCAGGGCCGGGGACAAACTGCAACCGAAGTACGTGCCCTTAGCGGGAACCGAACCCGGGTCTCTCCGGACCGCAGGCCGACGCTCTAACCGCTGAGCCAAACTGGCCAGGGTTCCCCAGAAGCATCTTTGCTGCAAACATTTTTACTACACAGCTAATTGCCGAAAGACAGTTCTGCCATAAGAAAAAATAAAATAAAGGTAAACTGGTTGACAGTTTGGTACTTCTGTGTTCGGTTTCATTTCTCCATCGATGAATCAATCAACCCCTGTAAAAAAAGATATAATAGCCCTGGCCGGTTTGGCTCAGCGGTTAGAACGTCGGCCTGCGGTCCAGAGAGACCCAGGTTCGGTTCCCGCTAAGGGCGCGTACCTCGGTTGCAGTCTGTCCCTGGCCCTGGTTGGTTGTGCAGGTGGCAGCCACTCAATGTGTCCTTCACGTAGATGTTTCTCTCTCGCTCTGTTCCCCTCCCCCCCCCACACTCTACCTGAACAAAAAATGGAAAAATGTCCTCAGGTGAGGATAAATAAAAAAAAAGATAAAATAACTGGTTGGCAGTTTTTATATTGTTTGTTTGTTTGGTTTCATTTCTCCACTGATGGAGGTCTCACAGTTCCTCCCATTTCTGTCTCATGCATGGATCCTCTCTAGCTCTCAGAATGGCCTATACAGTGACCAGAGGTGGTGATGTCGGAAACAGCATTTCTTCCAGATAAGGGTGATTTTCTCCAGCAGCTGGTTTCTTAGTTTGAAATGCATGGCGTTGGGAGGAGGAAGAGAGGCCGAGGGCCCTCTGTAAAAACACAGAGTTAGTGGAACTCACATTTCTCATAAAACATAGACAAGTGCTTATGTACAATCCACACATTTTTAAAAAATCATTTATTTACGCAGTCTTGTCGTGAATCAACACACATCTGAAGTCTCAGTAGCCATGAGTGCTCCTGGGTTATCAGACCGACTGTTGTCCTGTTGCAGTGCTTGTGCTTAAGTGACTCATTTTACCTAATGGTGTCTCATTCACCTCACTTCATCTCCTCCCGAAGGTATTGTGTCTTCCCACCTCATCACGAGAAGGGCGAGTCCACTACAACGAGATATTCTGAGAGACCACATTCATACACTTTATTACAGTACCTTGTTATCATTGTTCTTTTATTATTACTAGCTGTTGTTGGTCTCTTACTGTGACTAATTTATAAATTAAACGTTATCATATGTGTGTATGTGTAGGAAAAGACAGTATGTATAGGGTTCGGTACTATCTGCGGTTTCAGGTATCCACTGGGGGTCTTGGAACGTATACCCGGTGGGTAAGGGGGAGACTACTGTATTTTATTCATAATCTCACTTGTATCTCAGAGAGGACTTCATATACCTGAGCCCTGAATGAGGAATCAGGAGGTTTTGGGTTTTCTTCTCTCTATCACTAGCTGTGTGACATTAAGCACTGGATCTCTGCCTGTTGCCCATCTGCGAGAGCAAACACTTACTGAGCATCTACTGTATGCACCAGGCACTAGAGACTTTGTATCTGTATTAGTTCACTTGATTCTTTCCCAAACAACTCATGTGATGTGTCTTTCTGGAATGTGTCAGTGCAGTTCCAGGATGTTTTTGTAATACAGGCAAGATGACTGTTTGTGGCTTTTGCCATTTCAAAGAATCTTGGATTTTTCTCTGGGCTCCATAGGAACCAGTACCTGAGACACCCGCCGCCCCAGTCTGAACCCCAAGCCAGTCAGGTCACCGGGTTCCATTGCTGATGAGGACCTTGTCTTTGAACTTGGTTTCCCTGCAGACGCACGCTGGAGAGAAAGGGAAGTCTGCAGGACTGGGCCATTAGGGAGAAGGGCACCCACGGTTGGGATCGGGGGAGTGGGACCACCAAAGCCTGTCTGCCCCTTGGGAAATCTTTTTGGTGGCGTGGCACTGAAGGTCATTATCTTTTTCTGGTTGGGGGTTGGTAGGAATTCCACCCCTCCCCAGCCAGGATGGCTGTCAGAGAACTCTCAGCCTCTCTCTTCCCATCCAAGGTCCAGCTGTGAATTCCCCGCTGCTTATTTCTCATCTGGAGAAGCCCCACCCTGTGGGTCAGGAAAGCTCAGCAGGGGGCCCAGGCATTCCTCCATCCCACTGAGTCAAGGGCCCCAACCACCAAGCCATTGGATTGTCTTGTGCTGCAGGGCTCCCTCCCCAGGCGGGGACGCGGGAAGTGAGAGGGTGGGGGGACGCTTAGATCTGAGCCCTGGATTGGACCTTGGGTCTCCCTGGGGCTCAGGCTACGCCTTCTCCAGAGGTTGTCTGCCAAGTGCACAGCCCCGCCCCGCTCTGGGGGTGGGTGATCAAGGTTCAGTGTGTGGATGTGCACGAGTGTGTGTGTGTGGGCTTGGTGTCTGTGACATTGTGTGTCAGTTTACATAATTGTGTGTGTATCTGGGTTGTATATTTGTGAAAGTGTGCATCTGTGTGTTTCTTTGGTCTCCGGCTGAGTGCGTGTGAGGGAGTAAGTGACAGCGTTTCCCTAGGTGTCACTTTACATAATTGTGCCTGCGTGTGTGTGAACACGTATGTAAGTGCGTTTTTCAGTGTGACTGGCTTCTGGGGACGAGATGTGGAGGGTTGCCTCCTCCCATCCTGACATTTCCCCCTTTTGTCTTTTTCAGATTTTCTTTTTATTTTATTTTATTTTATTTTTTTTATTCTCAACCGAGGACATTTTCCCCCCCATTTTTTGTTCAGATAGAGCAGGAGGGAGAGAGAGAGAAACATCCACGTGAAAGGGACACATCCAGTGGTTGCCACCCACACGACCCAACCAGGGCTGGGGACAAACTGCAACCGAGGTACATGCCCTTAGCGGGAACCGAACCCGGGTCTCTCTGGACTGCAGGACAACGCTCTAACCGCTGAGCCAGACCAGCCAGACCCCCGCCCCCCTTTTTTCTTCTCCTTGAAATGCTTGGGGTGTTGAGACCCTGGCCCTGACAGGTTACTGGGTGATTGGGGCGGGGACCCCCTCATTACCCGGCCACCTGGTCCTCTCCTCCCGCGCCTCTGGCCGAGTTTTGCTCCTTGCCCTTCCCGCTGGCTCCCCGCTTGCTCCCCGCCGGACCTGCGACCTGTGGAGGCTCCTGCGGGCTCAGGTGGGCGGGCCCTGCCTGGGGCGCCTCACCGGGAACACCCGACAGCGCCGGACACCCGCAGAATAACTGGCTCTCCAACCACTTTCCTCCACTCACGTCTGCTCCGCCCGATGGAACCCGCTGGGGTGACTCTGAACCTCACGCTCCCCTCGAGCTCCACTGTGGCAAAGGTTTACATGCAGGGCTGTGACCCGAAAGCACATTCTGCGGGGCACGGGGCGCCGCAGGGCAAGGAGCGTGTGGGTGTAGGGATCGAGTACCAAACCCACGCAGTTCCAGTGCTCTGCCGCTAAGAGGCAGTGGGATTGTCTGCGGGCTGGCTGTCTGCGTGTGCGTGTGTGAGGCTAAGTTCCTTGTCCTCGAGCCCGGTTTTCTCATTTACAACCCCAGGGAGACCACAGCCACCTTAGTGTGATGCCCGGATAAAAACTGCAAGGCGGGTGTCAGGGCAGGGGGTGGGCGCTGCGCCGGCACGCACGGGTCGTGGTAATGAAAAGATGCGGTAGTGAAAGTCCCCGGGAAACCCATTCGTTTTCTAAATCCGGCTTGTAACGGGAACCTGGATGGAAAGGAAGACTGGGAGGCTGGGGAACAGCCCGCAGCTGGATTTGAGCCCACAGCCCGGGATAGCCAGTTATTCGGGTGACCCCGGCTCCAGATCTGTGACAGTCGTGCCCCGCCCTTTCTGGTGATTCCCTGGGAATCCGGGAGCGGAAAGCGGTTGGCAGACGACCAGTCCTCGCTCACTTCGCATATGGCATTTTGCCCCTCTGGTTGCAAGGCGGGAGGCGGGCAGAGGGCAGCGCGAGCCTGCCGCCCGGGTGCCGCGGCGGCGCGGAGGCTCCGGGGTCCTCCCTCGCAGGTCGGCCGGGTGCAGCCAGGGTCGGGAAGGATTTGCCGTCCACGGCCACTCCGCGCCTGGCTACCGCTTGCGCTCCAGTGCTTCGTCTGGCTGTGCTGTGAGAATTTGGCGACGGTGCCCGCGCCGCGGCAGGCCCTGGCCCCGCCCGAGCCCCGGGGACGCCCCGCCCCCGCCCGGCGCCCCGCCCCCAGCCCCGCCCGCGCCCGCGCCCTCCCCTTGTCCGGGCCCCGCCCCGTGCCGCGCCCCTCCGCCGATGCCCCGCTTGCCGGCTCCGCGCCGCGGCCCTGCCCTCAGGCCCCCGCGGGCTCCGCGCCGCTGCCCGGAGGCTCGTGCCCTCCCGCCGCTCCGGGACCAGCCTGCCGCGTCCCCTGGGCAACCGTCTCCAGGGAGACCGGGCCCCGCCCCCGGCACCGACACCCGGTACGGTGCCCACCTGTGCGCGCGTCTGCGGGGTCTCAGTGGCCCCCCCTCCCCCCGCCGCACGCCCCGCCCCGCCCCGCCCGGCGCCGGGCTTTGTCCGAGTGGGGAGATCAGGGGTCCAGGGACGTGGGGGCTGGGGAGGCGGGCGCGTTCCCGGACTCCACCGGGAGGCCGAGGCAGGGGGCCGCGCTCTGGTGTGGGCTGCTTCGCGCTCTCCCCCTCTCTTAATCTCATTGCATCCCTTTTGTGCCTCTGGGGGGCCGGGAATCGGGGTGTCCCGCTGTCGCCCTTCATGGGTTGAGCAGGGCCCTCAGCCGTTCAGGGCAAGCTGTTTACTTGTCAGGGACCAGCAGTTGCTATGCGCGTCCTCCCCTCCCCCTGCCCCCGATTCGGGACGGAGCATCCTACTCTGTCCATTCCTAGCGTTGCCTCCCAAGCTTTGCCCTTGAACCCAAAGGGACAGAGGGCGGCAGACCCAGGTCCTGAAGTCCTGGCTAGCGTGAGAACCATAGCAGAGACCCACCTTACTGCCGAGGAAGAGCCTCCTCCCTGGCCGCCCTCTTGTGAATTCTGTCCCGGCTCCGTATTTCCTGACCTGAATTCCTGAGGACGAATTTCTTCCTTGCCTTCTCTAACTCTTCCCTCTCTCGGCTCCATCATGCTCTCTGCTTTGTTTTCCTCGGGTTGAAAGTGCTTTCTCTGTTGTCCTGCCTCATTTCCCTGTGACCGAGCTGCTGTTTTTCCGTCCCCTTGTTAACTCCATTGGTCATCAATGGAAGTTATTTCTTCCTTAGCTCTTGGCGCTGACCTCCTACTTCTCTGGTGGCAGTGCCTTGGGAAGTCCTTGCCATCGTCCCCTGGATGCTGAGTGAAGGGACCCTCCATGCCCACGTTTCTGGGCTCCAGCATCAGGGTCCCTGGGGTATATCCTTCCAACCAGTAGACTGGCAGCAGGGAGAGTTTCAGTTGTCCTTGGGAAATGTGTTCTTGGAATGGATACCTTTTCCAACAGCTTCCTAGCACTGGACTTTTGTCTCATGGGGAAGCCAGTGTTTTTAAGTTTATTTCTCCTTAGCAGCCCTCCCAGGCCACGCCTAGTGGGTTCCAGATAGGCGATTTCTTGCTGTGTGGAGGTAGCTGTGCCCAGGGTCTGGGGTTAGGTAAAGGGGCTGGTCCTAGTCCCTCTCTGGGGCCAGATTATTTCCAGGCGCGGCCCCTCCCCATACTCCCTTTTCATCTCCTGGAGCTGGGATGGATCTTCCTTGATGATGTAATTTGGGTCTGGAATGGGGACCTCGAGTTCAGGAACCTGCTGTTTGCAGCGATTAAATGGAACTCAAATCCAGGCTTGGCTCAGATCACTTACTTTGCTTTCAAAAGCCAAACAAAACCAACAAACAACTCTAAAAATGATCTGAGTCATCTGTATGTATATATATTTCTGCTTCAGGCACTGGAAATGTTCCTGTGGTTTGCTTCAGTGCCACCAAAGGGAGCTGGGGTTGCATCGCCACAGATGGTGAAAAAGGCCCATCCAGCAGAATGTGATTGGTTTGCAAAAAGGGAGCCTGGGTGAAACAGTCACTTTTAAGTTAAAGTTCTGTAAGAGAATGCACAGAAGGTTTCTGAGACTAATTTTTTTCCCCTTTTTTCAAACAGATAAGGATCTCTCAGAGTCAAGCAAGGGTGGAATGATGCTCACTGATTCCAAAGCATCTTTAATCTGCCAGGCAGAGGGGCCTTTGCTGCTGGTCTTTCTTGGACCATTCCAGAGAGGTAGGTTGGGTGAAGGAGACAAGTGAGATGCTGGGAGGAGAGATGTTATTTTGTAGATAAGTTGAAATTTGAATGTAACCCTCTGCCCTCCCTGACCATTCAGCCAAAGGAGAACCTATCTGTAGGACTAGAACCGAAAGGAAGGGAACGACCCACATTTGTGCTTGGAGTTGATGAGTGGGAAGTGAACTAGACCTTCGCCAGCTTCCCAAGAGAGGGATGCTACTGCCTGGGAGAGGAAGGGGCGGCTGTGCTCCGAGGAGCCCTGGAGCCCATTATTCTGCTGCAACATTTGGTATTTGACTTGTTCTGGTCATGGTAGACTTGGGCTGGCCTATTTGGGGAGAGAAAAAGTAAAATATTCATTCTTCCAAAGGAAGTAGGTTGAATTTTGATAACTTGGTATCTTGCTTCTCAAGGAGTCCTTACTGGGGACATTCTGTTTCTCCAGAGAGTTGGCAATCACTGTATCAGTAATAGGATGCTCCTTACAGCTTCTAGAACATTAGTTTGGAAGATGAATGCAGTCCTTTCATTGTGCAGGTGAAGAAACTGAGGCCAGAGACTGACACTGGCTGGGCATTGGCTGGGCACTGGCCAAACACCCTGCCTCTGGCATCTGGGAGTACCTGGGTATGGTTAGCGAGCTCTAGATCCATAGGCCAGCAGTCTATGGGTACATATGTATTCTGTTCCCATCTCTCCTTATCCAGACCCTTGAACAGTTAACCATCATTTCAGGATGGAAAGCTTTGGGTTATAGCCTGGTGTCATCCTTGGAGTCCACCCCTTCCCCCAATCTCATTTTCTCTAGATCTTCATTGATACTTTCCAAACATTTTTGTTACATTTGTATCTTTTTTGAAAGATCAAAATGGTCAGCAGAATTTTAACCCATAAAGCTGGTAAAAAAACAGAGCCACTGCGGCACCAGCTAGCTGAGAGACTGGCCCAGAATTTCTTGCACTCAGCACCTCTCCCACTCTTGCCACCCTCTGGAGGCTTCGGGTACTTTCTTGGGACCCCTGGCCCTGGAGCATAGGTGAAGCCATGGCTTGTGTAGAACTATGTTGCAGTGATTAGAGTTTCTTCTACACACCTGTTTACACTATCTTGAGTCTTGTTTCAGAAGATGCCTTTTAATAATCATTTTAACCCTCATATGTGTTCATTTATAAAAATACCTATTTACTATAAAAAAAAATTGCAAAATGCAAAAACACACGCAAGCATAACTCTCCTTTTTTGCCCCAACCATTGTTTCCTTGTAGGAGTATACTCCCCCCACCTAACAGAGAGTCTTCGGTGTGTATCTTTGGAAACTTGGTTTTTATTTATTAAGTATTATGGACTTCCATATAAACATAACTGAATGTATATGTTTGTTTCTGCCCTCAAAAGCCCACTAGATGAGAGTAAAGGTATATATCTGTAAGGAAGAGGAAAGGAGGAGAGAGGAGGGAATGTGAGCAAAAATGTTGAAAGATACTAACCAGGTTGGGGAAGAGGCCATGCACAGAGAGCTGGATGTCCTGTGCTGTGGGGGGGCAAGCTGGTGTGTCCACAGGAGGACGTTCTCCCCAACCCAGGCTCGAGAATGGGGCTACAGAGTGTTCCCAACCTGGGGCAGAGGTGGCGGTGAGCTAGAAGATCGGTTGAAAGTGTGTGTGAGAGCGACAGACGCCTTGCTCAGCCCACATAGCCATGTGGCTCCGGGCTCCACCCCAGCAGAAGGTGCTGCTCAGGACCAGCCTGGGGCAGAGGGAGGCTGAGGAGGCTGAGGAGGCGCTGTGCTGAGAATGGAGGAGTCAGGCAAGGTCTGTGTACTGACTAGCACGCCCTCGCCTGGTTGGCTCCCGGTTCTCGTACTGACTAGTAGGCCCTCTCCTGATTGGCTCCCGGTCCGCGTACTGACTAGCACGCCCTCTCCTGGTTGGCTCTCGGTCCGCGTACTGATTAGCAGGCCCTCTTTTGACTGGCTCCCGGTCCACGTAATGACTAGCACGTTCTCTCCTGATTGGCTCACGGTCCATGTGCTGACTAGCACGCCCTCTCCTGGTTGGCTCCCACCGGTTTGCGTAGACTAATAGGCCTTCTCCTGATTGGCTCCTGGTCTGCGTACTGACTAGCACGCCCTCTCCTGGTTGGCTCCTGGTCCGCATGGTGACTAGCAGGCCCTCTCCTGGTTGGCTCCTGGTCCGCATGGTGACTAGCATGCCCTCTTCTGGTTGGCTCCCGGTCCGCATGGTGACTAGCAGGCCCTCTCCTGGTTGGCTCCCGGTCCGCGTACTGACTAGCACGCCCTCTCCTGGTTGGCTCCCGAACGTGGAGCCACCCACCCTCCAGGCAGGGCCTTCAGGAACTTCTGAGAAAACTGACCTCATGAGAAAAATGACCCTCAGATAACTGACATTGAGGGGGACCCTTTGAATAACTAGGTTGCTACTTTGTCACTTCATAGTGACACCTACGAGCAAGTAGCCCGACCTGTGCACAAACAGCTTTGAGTACCTTGCTCTTCAATTCGAATGGGCGGCTGTGGATCATGGTGCGTAGAAGGAGGCTCTGCCCGGAGAAAGAGACCCAGACAAAGAGAAAGACGTGGTTCAGAAGTCATAAACATGGTTGTTCTAAAAAAAGAATATTCAAAAAACAGCAATAAGCTCTTGGATATAAAACTATGATAGGAATGGTAAAAACTTCAACAGGATAGTGCTGGAAGATTGAAAAATGCATTTCTGGAAAAGATAAGAAAATTAGAGAATCAGTTTGGGTGGCCCACTATCCATCTCATCGGAGGTCCAGAAAGAGTGGAAAGACATGGAGAAGGGGAAATTATCAAAGAAACTACAGGGGAAAATTCTAGAATTGAAGGAGTTCCGGCATTCAGCGTCTTTGAGTCGAACTCAGCACAATGAATAATAAAAGAAACACTAAGTAAAATCATGAGATGCACTGTGGGATATCATCATCAACTCTCAAAACTCCAGAGGTAGAGAAAAGTTAACAGACAAGAGGCCAAGTGGAGCTCAGAGCGCATGATGCCATTGAACTTGACAAAAGCATCGCCAGGAGCTGCAGCACAATAGGGCCACTCTTTCAAGTTTCCAAGGGGGTCCGGCTGGTGTGGCCCAGTGGCTGAGTGTCGACCCATGCACCAAGAGGTCACCAATTTGATTCCCGGTCGGGACACATGCCCAGGTTGTGGGCCTGGTCCCCAGGGGGGGCCATGCAGGAGGCGGCCAATTGATGTTCTCTCTCCCTTCCTCTATCTCTATAATCAATAAAGAAAAAAAATAAAAATAAAAAGTTTCCAAGGGAAATTAACACCCAACCCAGAATTCTGTAATTGTCATTCCAGCGAAATAATAGACTAAAGGTATTTTTTATTTATTTTATTTTATTATTTTTTTTTAATCCTCACCCGAGGACATTTTTCCATTTTTTGCATAGATAGAGTGGGAGGGAGAGAGAGGAAGAGAGAGAGAGAGGGAAACATCGATGTGAAAGGGACACATCGAGTGGCTGCCACCCACACGACCAACCAGGGCTGGGGACAAACTGCAACCGAGGTACATGCCCTTAGCGGGAACCGAACCCGGGTCTCTCCGGACCGCAGGCGGATGCTCTAACCGCTGAACCAAACCAGCCAGGGCGACTAAAGGTATTTTTTAGACATGAATTCTCAAAAACTTCACCCCCACCTCCTTTGTAACTTTTCAAGGAAGATACTGGAGGATGTGCTCCACTAAAACGAGAAAGTAAACCAAAAAAGAGGAAAGAGTAGTACAATATGCAATTGTCTCTTGTTCTCATTTGGCTCAGCTGCCAAATGGCTTTCTGGATTTCAGCTGTCATCTTACTTTGTGTCTTGGAAGTGGGGAGAAAAACAAAACGAACACCTACCTCACCATGGGAACTGGAAAGGATTCACTTCCAAGCCTCCTCCACAACCAGGACCTGTGACCTGGGCTCCATTTATGAGATGCACTGATGTGATATTTGACACAGAAGAGAGGGATGACTCGTGGACTGGATCCATGCAGCAGTGATGGGCTACAAGGTCAAGTTCTTGGCACCGAGTAACCGGGATACAGACTGACACCTAGTCCTCAGTGGCAACAGGAGCAGTTTTGCCATCAGATAAGCAGTATGGAGTCCACATAGTGGACCACATCATATTTTCTTGTCCAGCTTTTTGTTTTTCCAGGACTTGATAGTTGCCTCATCTTTTCATTTGCTTTGTTTTCAATGTACTCATCACTAATCCTTCCTCAGACCCTCCAACAACAGAACTATGAACTCCTCATAGTACAGCAAACATGTCATAGTCCGTCAGTTCCTTTCCTGCTTCGTGGGTGAGAGTTGGCTTCTTTACTTGCAACCAAGCCCCCTGACTGGGGGAGAGCTGGTGAAGGGAATTTGTATGATGGTGGAGAGAAGTCCCAATGCTACAGCCGAGCAGCTGGTCTGAGAGCACACAGCCCCTCTTGGGCTGGGGAGGAGTAGCTCCAAGAAAAAATGGAGCTGGTGGTTTTTCTGACATATTTGCTGCATTACAAGGAGTTTTATAGTTCTGTTGGAAAGTTTAGGGCGGAATTACATATTCGTACATAGAAAACAGACAGTTAAAGGTGAGGCAACTATTAACTACAAGAACAACAAAAAGTTGAACAAGAAAGGAAATAAAATCATAGTATACTGAGTGGCCTAGCTTTGAACAATATTTACATAGTTGTAATCATGTAAGCACTGACATTTAATTAACAACGATCGCATAGCTGTATTCGGAAGATGAATGAGACGGTGTGTGCGTGCATGTGTGCGTGTGTGTAGGGAAGCACAGACACCTTCAAAGGTAAGAAGTTCAAAGTTGAAAATCCAGAAATACAAGTACAAACCTATTATTTAGAAATGTAGAGATAAATATCCAAAGAAAGAACTGAAATTGGGGGATGGTGTGTTTGCTTGTGAAGTTCAGAGGACTGCAAAATATATAT